AAGATCCGAAGATCAAAAATACTTAAGTTGGAATGGTGACTGGCTGATCTTTAAGTTCCAAACTTAGTAAAAGACTTCTAGTAACTGGGGGAAAAAATTAAGAAGCGTATGTATGGACTTTTGTTTAGGAAATGCCCCGGAAATGGCACAAGAGACGTCCCTGACAGTGGGCACGCCACAGGGTCTTACCTCATCCCTGCTAACAACTGCTTCTCATGGGGAAAACACTCAACTCTGAGGTCTGTCTGTGAATATATAAAGGCTGGAATATCCTTTAGACCAACTCAGATCTAAAATTTTCTGAGTCATAGATCATTCCCCGTCATAAAGGGAGGAACAGGGAAGTAAAATAAAACCAAAGCACATATACAGAAATATTATTTGGGCTTTCTATTGGTTGTTTCTTTGGTCAACAGGATCTCAGTCCAGTCTGGCTTGAAACTTACTATGTAGCTTGAACTTGTGAGTGCCAGCATTACAGGAGGACAGAGTTCATGAAGTTTATATGATGCTCATGCATGTGAAGCAAGAACTCCACCAACTGAGCCACACCACAAGGAGACGGGGGTCCACTGGTAAAATTCTGCATCATAGACAACAAGCACTTTGAGATTAAACGTGTGTGATTCCTGCCATGCTTATTTATTTAAAAGAAAAAGCAACTCTCTTCCTTGTATGCTGGGGAATTGGGATGACTAGCATCATCTGTAGAAAGTGAGTCTTCAGAAATTACAAACACATAAAAATATAAACAAACAAAGAAAGAAATCTCAGGTCAGATATAAACAAAGGAAACTGAGAACTGAGCAGACACTACTGACTGAGATGCTGGCACTTAACTAATAACTAACACCAACACTATTACTTACTTACCAAGGCAGCTCCAGGCTGGCCTTGACCTGCTGTGTTGCTCAGGGTGAACTTCTACCATGGAGTGCTGAGGTTGTCAGGCTAAAGTAATTTCAAAGTAGTCTTTGATATTAAAGGGAAATAACAGAAAGAAAACACTTTGGGCTGGAGAGATGGCTCAGAGATTAAGGTCACTGACTGCTTTTCCAGAGGACCTGAGTTTAATTCTCAGCACCCACATGGTGGCTCACAATCATCTGTAATGAGATCTGGTGCCCTCTTCTGGCCTGCAGGTGTACATGCAGGCAGAACACAGTATGTATAATAAATAAGGATGATAGGAGGGAGAGGGAAGGGGGAGGGAGGGAAGAAATGATGGAACAAAGGAAGAAAACACTTGGTTCATATAAATGAGTGAGCAAGAAAGAAAAGACAAGGAACTTTTGAAAACAGGATTTGTTCAGTAGTGTGTGGATAATGCAAGTTACTAATCTCAAAATCTAATACTAATTATATACAATGAAATTACACCATTGCCCAATTCTTCTCGTATTTAAAAAAACAAATAGTATAGAAACAGCTGCTACTATGACTCAGAAAACAAACTTTGAAGGCAATCTCAAAGCCAGGCATGATAATGCATACAGGAAGATCAGGCCTTCAAGGCCTGCCTTGGCTACATAACAATTTGGTGGCTAGTCTGGGCTCCAGGCAACCATTAAAAAGAAACAATCACAAACTAAAATATTGCAAAGAAGGCCAAATTTCAACAGGAAAACGTGTAAGTCTTGACATTCACAATGTAAAAGTCACAGGCTTGCTGACTGTGTGCTGAGTCTCACCAGCTAAACTTTAATTTGACCCTGGGCTGCTGAGCATTGCTGAGCTTGGGAGCAGAAAACCCTGCTTGTCAACAGAGATGAGCATGGCAGCAACAGCAAGGTGGTTTCTAGACTTTGCTCCTTATTAGACATTCTACCCTAGGCAAGTTACTTAATTTCTCCAAACTACAATCCATTCATCAGTAAAATTAAGGAAATGAAGTATTTAAGCTCTTCGATGAAAAGACTGTAAGCAATACTTAAGAAGAAGAGCCGGAGGGGAGGGAAAAGAGGAAAGAGGGAGATCAAGAGAGCAAGAAGATATGCATCCTTCAAGAACAGCTTTGTCCAAAACTAAATTGATGATCCCTCTGGATAACAATGCCAAATTTAATAAGCTAAAATTCCCTCCTCTTCTCTTTCAGTGAGCACCAGAAACGCAGTCCAAAGAGTCAAACAAGTGGCACACACCTATAACCCTCGCTTTCAGGAGGCTGAGGCAGGAGGATATAAAGTTCAAGGCCAGGCAGCTTGGGCTACAGAAGGGGCTTGAGGCTAAGTGGAAAAAGCCTGAGGTATGAGAAAAGACTATTGAAAGTTACATTCATTCACCTTTTTTTTTTTTTTTTTTTTTTTTTTTTTTTTTTGGGTAAGTCATTTAATTGTACTGTCCTCAAAAACCAAAGGCGGGGGGCGGCGACGGGGATATGGGACAGGAAGTGGGGGGGGACATGCCTAAACAACAACAACAAAACAATAACTGGGGCGGGAGGAACTGCTCAGCACTTAAGATCACTGACTGCTCTTCCAGAGGACCTGGGTTCAATTCCCAGCACCCACATGGCAGCTCACAGCTGTCTCATGTCTCATACAGTTCCAAGGGATCCAACACCCTCACACAGACACACATGCAGACGAAACCAAAGTACATAAAATAAACAAGCAAATTAATTTTAAAAATTAAAAAAGAAAGCTATCAGAATACAACAACAATAAAAACACTTAGTCATAGGACAATTGATATATGCTGAAAAGATACATAAGAATGATGGAATGGTATATAACAGTAAAAAAAAAAAAAAAAAAAAAAAAAAAACCCCTAAAGGCAATCCAAATATCTATACATAAATAATTTTCAGCTAATTTAAGACCATGATAAACGAGGGTAAAAATAATGGGTAGGAAAAAGGAATATATATGATGATACAATACAAACAGTGACAACTTTATCTTCTCAAGAAAATACTGGTATGTGTAGAAATAAGTAAGAAGAAGCCATTTCCTCACGAGAGCTAGTGCAAACGTACACTTCTGCTCTTGACTGTCTACAGAGCTGGTCCTTTCATCACATGGTAGCTGGCCACTGATAGGATAATATTATGAGTTCTGTGAGGCAGGTCCGTCCAATACAAAGATGTTGTGGCAAGTATAAGAAAACTCCTGGTAGCTAATTTAAAAATCAATACGTCTGCCAACACTAGAATATCTACAGTTAAGCTTTCAAAGAAAGACCGATAGCCAAGAACGGCATTAATTTCAGAAACATTATCAATATCCCCTGGCTAGTAGCTTGTTTCTTAGACAGAAAGACAGGCAATAGAAGCCTAGCATGGTAGATGGCATATGCTTGTAACTCCAGCACATGGAATTGGGAGTTAGAGGTCAACTTGGGCTACAAAGGGAGACACAATCTTAAAGAGCCCATGACCAAACAGGTAACCAAGTTGTCAGGGACAAACAAAAGCAACAAGAATGAATCTGCAATTGCTGAAAAGTAGGAGGAGAAGAAAGAAGATAAGGCTGGGGGGGGGGGGAGGACAAGGTCTCTCAATTTTAGCGAAAGAGCCACTGTCTAGGATGATGTGATGACACAATCCTCACCTAACATTTTCCTATTTGCAAGGACTACAAACTACCAACTGCAGACCAGAGGGATTAAGTCAGTCATTCAAGAAAAACCTTCTTCCTTTTTTTTTTTTTTTTCCTCTTTTTCAAAACAATCGTAGTTATGGTACTATCAGAGAACCATGTGACCGATGATAAGTAAATTAGTATCTCAAATTTTATTCCAGAATTAACTCATAAAACCAGGACTAATTATAAATCACTAGTAGAGATTTATAAAAATGTTATGCACTATGTCATATATTCCAAACTATTTTCAGTAAGGGATTTGTGAAATTATTATAAGTTAGAGTTCTGTAATTAAAAATCAAGAAATCCACCCTCCTGTAATGACTAAACAGAGCTATTTGCTACAGAAGAAATCAAAGAATAGCACAAGGACCTTGCTGAAGAACATGTGTGTAAGAGAGCACCACGTGCTACAGTGTTGTAACTATCCCTGCAGAACACATTTCCTGATTGCTAAACAAAATGAAAACAGTTAAAATCCTTTCTTTAGAATTTTATGATATGTAAGAGTTAAACATTCTGAATCACATGACTTGGTTCCGTTGTGCTGAAATGGAAACAACCTAGTAGACATGCAGTTTTTATTTTCCTTTCCCTTTTTGTTGTTAATCAAGGTAACATAGACAAGATAAAACACAAAAATCTTCAAAACCTTCATTTCCACACCAGTTACTGTAAACAAGATGTTTCCAAGATATAACCAAGGCACACATTTTTGTGTGTGTAAGAGATGAGTGACCTCTAGCATTCAAATAGGTATTCATTCTTACAGACTCATCCTATCAGACAGATCCAGCAGAAACTCATACCTGGGAGATATTCATGGATCCTAATATGAAAAGTATATTAGAAATATACTAGAAACCTTTCTAAAAAGTCCAAGGACATGCTGTATACTTGCATTAAAAAACCTGATTTCTCCCATTTATTTATTTATTATTACTGAATCCAGAAACCATTTTTTGAGGCAGTATACTTGACCACCACCCAATTCTTATTGAGACAAATTATTCAGGACCCAGGATCTTCAACCATTTTAAATGTTCAGGCATTTAATTTAATATACCTAGACAACTGTGAAAATCCATTCTGTATTTCTGTACTTCAAAACACAGCAACAGTATACAAAAATGGCACAATCCTGAAATACCACTCCCTTTAAAAGACACATGCCAGACTCCTTTCAATCTTTCCTTAAAAATAAGTACCTATAAGAAACCACAAACTCATACATGTTCTTGCTGGAAGTAACAATTTGTAACAATCATTTCTAAAAGGCAACACACTTTATATGTTGCAGCACTCTCCCCAGACACCTGCATCTCTGCTGCAGTCACAAATAAACACATTGCTCTGAAGCATGGAACATTGAGATGCATGAAGCATGCACATAGACCTGAAATGGATTTGCGTTACCTCCAACCTTAGGGCCACCTGCTGAACCAGGCTTTCTCCCACTGTTGACAGGGTTTCCAGATGTTTTAGGTGCAGGAACCTTGAAGGCTGAAGCAGCTGATGATGGCCTGTTTCCATCCACTGATTCCTCATCATCAAAGCTTTTATCTGCACAAACAAAGCATAAAAAAAAAGATACTTAAGGAAGCTAAGCTTTTTCCATTCTCCATTAAGACTCAAAAATAAAATAGAGCTACAAATAAAATTTATTATTTAGGTAGGATACAAATTAAAAAAAAATAAAGATCCCTTGAATAAGCAATTATACATTAGTTAACACTTTACAAAACAAAGTGTGAATTAAAAATAAAAATACCACATTTCCTACACATACATGTCAAAACATTAAAGCAAACATATCAACTTTAGAACGGTCAAAGCATCTCTCTTTCTTGATGCTCATATAAGCATTTTTCTGCCAGCCCCTCCCATAGTCAGTCTTCAAGCACGCCCTGCCTTATTCCTATGCCCAGATTTCTGCAACTTACAATCACAGATCCGTTTGCAAATCAGCCGCCTCATTCCTCCGAATTTCCCTCACCCTAGAATAGCTCCTAATAGTTCACATGGCCAAATACAGTCAATTTGATACTAATCAAAGATTCTGTCAAAAATAGATAGAAACAACCACAGAGCCACCACTGAGGTTTGAGCCGGCATTTTTCTTTCTCTTCCCTGCCCTAGGTGCTGCAACAGCCAATCAGCTGCAAGGTGACATCATCTTATGGCAGCTACTGCTAGATGAAAGGTAAAAATTCTCCATGCATCTGAAGAATCCTCCATGTACTCACAATGTATTCTCTATCAAAAACTGTGAAAGCATTTCATACCAAAGGTTTATAAATCTGGATCTGTTTCCTCTTACTTAATACACATGAAAACCCATACAAATAGGACATTAGGTTTTAGGCAAGAGCCACTGAGCTGTGTGCTACTGCGTCGGGAAAGCATGAGAGCAGCAGGGCTCACTGTTGTACATAATTAACCATCTACAACCTCACAATGTGCTGCCTGCGTCGTGACAGACATGAAACCCAAGAGCCTCTTCGCTTAAGTGACTCTCAGGAGTTCTACAGTCTCCTTCTGGAATATTCATAGCCACACTGCTATCATCTCCTCACATACAAGCTCACCAGCCTCCAACCAACTCCTCCCTCCCCCACTCACTCACAAGACAGATGCCTAGGACTCTGCTGAGAAAGGGTTTTCTCTAGGACCCTGCACAAACCAATCCTGACAAACAAGATGGGTGAGGCAGAGAAGCAGCTTTACCACAGGCTTCAGACCTAGTCTGATTCTTCTTCCTGCCCCTCCCGTTTCCCCACACAGATGCTCACTCATCCAGAATAAGGATCTCCATGACGATGTAACACCAGTGTAACTATTAGACAGGGGCAAAGAAAAGAAGACCCTAACAAATGTTAAGACTGTTTATTAGGAAAAAATAAATAAATGATCTAAAATCATGTTCCATTTCGGCAAGTGTTTTGTTAACATCACTTCTACTCCCCTACCCTTCCCTGCATGCCAAAACCAGGTTCTAGTTTAAATACGACATTATCTTACCATAACACAATTAGGGAGACAGTGCAGAGAAAGTAATGATCTTAAAATTTCTGTTTTAAATATATCATTGTATTAAGTACACCAGAATGATTCAAAATAAACTTTTTTGGTTTATCATTTTACACACACACACACACACACACACACACACACACACACACGACAGGAAAAAAATGTACAGAAAGTCAGGCATTGGAACAGAGAAGGCAGAGGTTCCCATGGAAACGGTGTTCCCTTCCTATACACACAAGAACTGAAGAGATAGATATGTGTCCCTACCACTAAAAAAAAATTAACTCTTAACATCCTCAAGGTACTAGGATTTTTAAAACTTTGTTAACAAAGATAAGCATACATGTCCCAAGATACAAATACAAAATTTTCCCAAAAAGAATGCCAGTCTAATCAGTACGCAAATGCAAAGATTACCTTCATCTTGTGTCTCCTAAGCACTCTCCAAACCCCTAACTCAGCCAGTCAGTTTGGAATCCCCACAAAGCTGTAAAGAAGTAGAATATCTACTGTGGCCTCTAGAGTCTCATCACTAGATAGGAAAGTAATATCAGAAGACTCATTTTGTTGCTGATCACTCTGGTGTATGAAGTATCACAGTTTACTGGTGCCCATTGCACTGCTCACAGACATGAGCTATTCAGAGTTTGCAGGTATTATAAAGCTGGGTTCTTGAGAGAAAAAACAAAAGGGTCTGTGGATTTCAACATTACTGGCAAGCAGTAAACAAACCACAGATCACGCATCTCAAAATAAATTCTACAATTTCGTGTTTTTTGTTAACATAATGCTGTTTCAGATCTGAAAGCATTTTGTGTTATGAATTTGGGGATTAGGGATATTCAGCTAAGTATAAGTAGACTCATACAAATATTGCAAACACAGAGGGGGGGGAAAAACAAAATCTGAAAAAATACTCTTAGTCCCAAGCAATTCATATAAGGGATATTCAACGTGTAATTTATCTGGACCACAGGAAATCAAAGATGTATTTAGTAATATCTATGGCAGTGATCCTCGAATGTGGTTTTCATCAGACAAAGCTCAGGATCGCCTGACGTTCCTTGGAGATGCATTTTAAAATATTATTACACTTGTTAATTCTGTGTACCCATGTGCCATGGCATTCATGTGGAGGTCAGAGGACGGCTTCAGGAGTTCATTCTCTTTTTCTGTCACATTGGTCCAGGGGACTGAACTCAGGACATCAGGCACTGCAGCACCTTGACCTGCTCAGCCATCTTGCTGTCCCCTAAAATGTGAACTCTTAGGTATGAACTCACCTGTATTCCATCAGAAATTGTAAGAATGCAGCCGGATACACTGCAATTTAAGAGCCCCTAACAATCATGTGTGAGCCACTCAGAGGTTGGTAGATTTTCTTTTTAACAAAAAGGGTCACATGGCAAATATCATAGGCCTTGAAATCTACATACAAATGTCCTTTTGTGCATTTGCTCAATTATGACATGACAACAACAAAGCAACCCACAATCTACAATGAAATAAGTGCAGCTATGTTTCAGTGTCATGTAAAAAAAAAAAAAATAAGAGGACAATTGAGACAGGTCCAAAAGCAACAAGGTGCCAATCCCTGGTCTAGGGTAAAAACTAAAAGTAGAGTAATTTTAAAAATTACAAATAATAGTTAAAATAATTTTAAAAGCAGAAAAGTGAAAAAAATTAAATGAAGTCTGAAAGGATATAAAATTTTTAAAAAATACAATGAAAAATTATTTTTATGATAGATATGTGAATTCCACTCCCTGTATGCTGAAGTACAAGAACCATCTTTGTGTTCTAAAATAATTGAAGTGTGTTACTCTTTGAAGCAGTGAACTTCAAAGTTGGGCTTTCTTTTTCATTCCATTGACCATTAGGGCAATAGCAATTAGGCACAAATAGTCATTTGTCTCACTGAGCAGTTAGAAAAGGTGAACTTTTAAAATAATTTCTTGGGGCAGGGGGTAACCTGAAATGTTGTTCTTCAGTTTAAAACTACATCAAGAAGGAAGCTAGAGAAATGGTTTAGAAGTTAGAGAGCAGGCTGCTCTTCCAGAGGACCAAGGTTCAGCTCCCAGCATCCACACAGAGGCTTACAGGTGTCTGTAACTGCAGTTCCAGAAGGGTCTGACCTCCCTCTTCTGGCACCCTCAAGCCTTACCTGCATGTGATGCACACACGCACACGCACACACACGCACGCACGCACGCACGCACGCACGCACGCACGCAAAACACCCATACACATTAAACAAAAATAAATCTTAAAAAACAAAACAAAAACTACATTAAAGGACTGAAGAGATGAGTCAGCAGTTAAGAGTGTTCACTGCTCTTGTGTAAGAACCCAAATTTAGTTCCCAGCACCAGCGCCAGGCAGCCCCCCCCTAAGTCCAGCTCCAGAGAATCCAAACCACTCTTTCAGCCTCCACAGTCAGCTGCACTCATGTGCACAAATCACTACTACACTCACTGGACAAAATACATGATTTTTAAAAGTCTTAACTAAAAGCACCAACGTTTGACAACAAGAAACACAAGACTAGAACCAGTACTTCAGATATTCTACTCTATTGTCAGGTAAAAAGAACAGATCCAAACCCACACAACATGCAAGCAGAAGTTAGAATACCAAATGGCTAACTCTTAAGGTTAAAAGGAATCACAAGGCAACCCTTTTTGACCACCAGGGACGGGAGGTGACTCAGTGAGTAAAGTGCCCACTACACACTGCAGGACCTCGCCCACATAAAACTGGGTGTGATAACATATGCATCTGCCACCCCAGTGCTCCTATAGGGAGGAGAGAGGTGGTTTTGTGGGCCAGCCAGCCAGCTAGCCAGGCATATGCAGCAGGAAAACACCAAGAAACCTGTTTCAAACAATGTGGAAGGTGAGGACTGAAACCCACGGTTGTTCTCTGAGCCCACTCCCACACGGGGTCACCAGCACACACTTGCACTCACGCGAATGCACACAGCACTTCTACCACCACAAGTATCATCATCATCACACATAAGCAAACAGATAAGTAAATGAATAAAAGTGGGGGGGGTTGAGTGGGAGGGGAGGAGGAGAGAGGAAGCGACAAGAGACAGGGAAGTGAATCAAATCAAATGCTACAGTACAGTCAATGAGCCAGATACTCAAGTCCTACTTCAGTAGGCTGCTAAGAGCACAAACAAAATTCCTAAGAACACCCAAAGTATCAGAGGACAAGAATAATAGAGCAGGATGGACTTTGTGCTATCTATCTGCCTAATGGAAAAGGTGACATGATGGAGAACAGGAGAAATCGACAGATGGAGGAAAGGAGAGGGAGAAGAGACTGAACGAGTATGAACACCTGGTGGGAATAGGTGTGCTTAAATACTGCATTTCCTCTGTGAGTTCAAGATGTTCAAAAGGACCAGAGGGTAGGAAGCAAGAGCTGAGTGGGCTGTCTACATGAGGAAGATGAAAGAGGTAAGCAGATGGAAATAGGACACATCAACAAAGATGAAGGAGAAAGAGGTGACAGAAAGGGAC